CAACCGTATTTTACAATTCTTGGTACTTGAAACAAATTCTCAAGCTCTTTGCATCATTCGAAGAAAAACTGAGATCACGAAACCTTTATCGAATCATTAGGAACATATAACGAAGAAAGAATGGAGGAAATATGAGCACTACATATCAGATTAGATTACAGCGGCCACCACGCACCTCTTTTCGCTCGAAGCTGAATCCTCACTCAAAATCAGACCAGCATCTAAACCATGGAAAGAATTCTGCGCCTCGAGCTGAGCTGCAGAGCATGAAAGCGAGGCGATGAACCAATATTGGAGCATGGCCGTGCCATGCTCGAGTGGCCTACAGTAGAGAGGGAGTGGCAATCATTTGCAGAACACAAGCAGAGATGAAGGAGAGGCAAGAAGATATTTGTTTGCACGAGGACGATAGGAGGTCAGTTTCCGAGACCAGTGCACTGCAGTACAAGCAGGCGAGGAAGAGATGGATATGGATGCGGTGAGATAGATGAGCCTGTAGCTTTTAATTCGCACAGTGGTGCACTGCAGGGCTGTGCATCTGTGCATCTGTGCAGTGCAGCCGTCTTTAAGGGTGGAGGTTTGTGCACCACTGACATGATAAAAAACCAGTTTCTGACTGCTTCCATTCGAATCCCTGCTCTCTTCCATTCATTCCGTTGCCATTGATTCATGGAAGCGAGAAGAAGCTGATGCATGAATAGAGCGACGAGCGTCGACATGTCACAGTGTTGATTGTGGATAGATGTGTATTGTAGAGCTCACAGTACATGAATGTTTATGGATAACAATGAATGAGAGAGTGAGTTCGTGTATGAATGTTTCTACAACCAACCTGCCGAAGGCCAACTCTGAGCTCGAGCTTTTAAAGATGAGAGAGAAACTGTAACGGAAAAGTGAAGAAGCCCGTGACTGTTGACGATGGTAGGTCAGCCCATCGTAATTTCTTCCATTCATTAACTTTTCTCTCTCTCTCTCTCTCTCTCTTTCTCTCTCATATTTCCAACAAGCCGATTGAGTCGGATCCTGATGGAAGGGCCTTGCACTGCGGGCTGACGGCGATGGGGTGGAACATGCAGAAAGGTTCCATGTCCATTCAGCTGCAGTTGCTCTGAGAGAGAAAGAGAGAGGGAGAGAGAGAGAGAGAGAGAGAGAGAGAGAGATTTGTTCGTGCCGATGAATGATTGAAGGATTGAATTCGGAGGGTGGTCTTGATTTGGTTGATCACGTCTCGTAGAGAGTGCAAGCGACGGAGATTAAAACTTGCACCACCCACCGCCACCGCTTGACATTCCAAAGCACAAAGTCGCAATGTCCAAACTGGAGCGGCGGGGAGAGGAGGGGAGAGGGGGCAGTGAGCGTCAGATTCTGTACTTGAGCGGTACCTGTTGACGAGGGGGGAAGAAAGCGAACACCTGGATGGTGTGGAGGGTCAAGGAGGACATGGCAACAATTCAGATGGCGCAGCTGTAAATGAAACAAGTGGATAAAGGTGGACGACTTACCTACCTCCTCCCTGGAAAAGCCAGAAGATTCATGTCATGCTCATCAAGGTAGGCCCCAGACCAAGAGGGGACGGGACGCGAACTGAAGTGGAGAGAGAGAGAGAGATAGAGAAAGAAAGAAAGACAGACAGACAGAAATAAAGCAACAGAAAGACGTCTCCAAAAGAGAGAAAGGCCATAGCAAAAGAGAATGGCGACGGTGAATTTTCTCCCTCCCTGCCTGTCTGCCTGCCTGTGCCATTCCAATCCCCTCCAGTCTTCTCTTCTCTAGAAGCAGCTGTGCAGCTGTGATGTGTTGATGCCGCTTGCTTTTCTGAGAGGAGAGGAGAGTTAGACAGCGGTCGGTGTTGGGGGCGGTTATGGTTGAATTGAGAGAGCGGGGCATGAGAGGCAAGGAGATAAAAGGGGCGCAGGGTTCGGGCAAGGAGAGGCTCAAAGTGCGTCTCAAGCTCGGCGTGCTCTTGCACCCTGGGCTCAAAAGATACTTTGTGACTCTCACCGATGTGCCCAAAGATAGTCACCATTGACTCTATCTCCATTGACGACTGATTTGATCATTCAATTCAGTTCGCCAGTTCAGCCAGGCAGCCCAGCCTAGCCCAGCCCAGTGACTGGGTCAGTGAGCATCAAGGGCAATTTACGACACACGGACACCCCTCACCCACACCCACCACCACCCACGAGACGAGAATGAAATTTCATCATGTTTTTCCAAGTCTTCTTATCTGTCTGATGTTGGCTCCCGTGGGGCAGGGATGCCTTCCTGCCTTTGCTCAGACCCAGGGACTCCTCTCCCTCCTTCCTTTTTTAATCTCTCTAAAATTCACACTCCTCGGCGGGTCGAGGATCAGACAACAAATAAGGCCCTGCCAGGCTCTAGGTCTTCCTTTCGTTTGCTCGGTTGCCCTACTCGACAGAGAAGATCTTCTTCATCTATTCATCGATGTGCATAATAGCAGCAGCAGCAGCAGCAGCAGCAGGGTCCAGGGTCCAGGGTCGGGCCTGGCAATGGATGATGTGCCGGCCGGCCTGTCTGTCTGTCTGTCTAGCCTGGTGGCCTGTTGGGTTGCTGCTGCTGCTGCCGCTGGCTGCTTGTGCCTAGACTCTCATGACATTCCGTGGGGAATCAGTCAAGCTTGTACTACGGATATGCTGCTTGTAATACCCCATCATGTGTCGTTACTCTATCACCACCACCACCATCACCACCACTTCCACCAGTGCCGCCGCTGCTCCTACTATTACTGCTGCTGCTCCTCCTGCTGCTGCAAACTATCACAAGCCCCATGATCACTGCCCCTTTTGTCACGACGGTGAGACGAAAGTGTGATGAGCACGGGCCATACAGCTTCCTAGTAAGTCGGTCAGTCGGTCAGTCAGAAGAGATTGGGGAAAGGAGAGAGAGAGAGAGAGAGGGAGAGAGAAATTGAGGTTGACATTGATTACACTCGAGAAAACTGCAAGGATCGACGAGACTTGAGGCTGATGTGGTGGAATGGGTGGGATGGAGGTTGGGTTGCGCTGTGACAGCTCGGTGGAGGGACGGGGAGGGACGGAAGCGAGGAAAGGGAAAAGCGAGAGACCATATCTATCTCATGCAGGAGCAAAACCGGGGCCGGGGACTGGCATGATGTAAGGTGAGCCCATCATAGAGGAATCCGAAACGAGTAAGTCACGCACATGACCAATCAATGGACGCAAGGATTTCGCGGGACAGGGATTGGGAATGATCATATTCTCTCCGAGTCTTTGTTTTCTTTCTCTTTTCTCCCTCCGGGAGCAGCTGCAGCAGCAGGCGCTGCCTTACCACCATTGAGCACTTGATGCTGGAGCTGCTGCTGCTGCTGCTGGCGGGCGGGGAGTGGGGTTGGGGGCTGGACTGGACTGCACTCATGCAGGGCCTTCCGTTACAGGGGCCGGAGGGCGAGGGAGGGGTAGTTCTGAAAAGTGCAACGCGCAGATCTAGACAGCAGTCATTCATCAGAGTGGTGGAGGTGGAAGATTATTATAGCGCAGAGACGAGTTTCACTCGGCGAAGCTCGCCTCGAGAGCTCGAAACGAAACGGTTCGATTGCAGGCGGGCGTGGGATGGAGTATAATAAGTCGTGAACGGCTGCGGTGTCGATAGCGTGAAGCGATGGAGCGTGAGGTGGTGGGCGTCGAGAGAATAAAGATATGGAATCCAGAGCCCAGAGGAATTTATCTTAAAGAGCCCCCCCCCCCCCCCCCCCCCCCCCCCCCCCAGATCGCTCTGCACGTGCTGCTCTTCACCACAAGCTCCGTGTGATTGGACCAGTTTTCTCTGATGAGCTGGTATGATTCTGAAGCCCATGGGTTGTGCATCTTCTCTCTTAGCTTGATCCGGAACCCATCGAATCCGTGACATCTACAAGTGCCAAGAAACTCTCCATGATGACGGCATGTCACTGAGCCCGTTCCCCGTTCTCGCTTGGGCCGGGACCTGAGCGAGCCATGCCACAAGCCAAAAGAACTTCCTCGTTTCTCCATCTCTCTAGATCTCTCTCTTACTACGGCCTTGAGAGGCCCCGGCAAAAGAGAAAGTCCAGCCAGCCGGGGACTTCTGTCCAAGCCCACCGAGCCAAAAGCCGGGCCAGTGAGTGAGTGAGTAAGTATAGTTTATGCCGTAGTCCAAAGAGTGAAACCAAAAGCAGCGCCAGTCATGTCCAGATAGTCGGGGCTAGCATCTTAGAAAAGCAACATTCCAAGTTCGTGATATTCATTCATTCGACTGTGCGCTTTTCTCAAGCATCTACAGCTAGCTCTAGAGAGAGATAGAGAGAGAGAGAGAGAACATCACAGAACCTGGTGAAAGAAGGGGGTTGCATACATACAAAGGGAAGAGGAACCAGAGCAAAAACAAAGCCATCGAGAATAAGGGAGAGGGGGAGTGGCGCACGAGACCTGTGAGGAGAGTGAGTACGGATATTTGGAAGGGTACGACTCCGTGGGTGCTTGGCTAGCTATCTGCCTTTGTGAGTCACCAAGCCCGGGGCAGGGGGCTGGGCTGGCTTGGCCTGTTCATCCCATCTAACCTTTACATCTGATACGAATACCCTCGAGCTCGTCAAAAGCAGGACCATGCCCTTCTGACAGAAAGGTGAATGAATGTATTACACCCTGCACCACAGCACACATAACCACAGGGGCAGGGTGGAAGAAAGAAAAGCAGCAACTCAGAATAGAATGGTAAGGCACGGGAGGGCTGAATGGAATCCATCCAGAGAACAATCCACAGACTATGCCTGGAATCCGGACTGACAAGATAGAGACAGGCAGACAGAGAGACGACTGCATTCATTTCATTTCATTCATAGTGCTCAATTCAATTCATCCACTGGGTGGAAAACTCACAAGAGCAATCATGTGGGAGACAAGGTCCTGTCATGGGCCTGAACAATAGGCCTTGGCAGGACCGGAAGGCTCCATGAGCCGGGGTGGACACAGATCGAGAGAGATAGAGGGAGAGACACATTTTTTATACATGTACATATAGATATCAACCGATTATTGACGAGGAGTTGTACATAAGGTAACACTGGTTACTAACTTAAAAAGTACTAAATAGCTTTTACAGTTCAGCTCAGAGCAGGGCATGATCTGGCTTGACCTGTCTGCAAGGAGCAGAGACGAGAGGACTCTCTTCTGAATAAGAACCACACGACGTCGACGAAGGCAGCTTCCCACCCGACGATAGATATGAGATAATATCCTATCTGAAGAGCTACGAAGCAAATTTTGGCGAGATTTTGCCCAACCTACATTCTATAAATGCCTCGTGGCACTCACACATATGAGCAGAAATCTGTAAAAATGTCACAAATTGTCTTCAATTAAATAGGGACGGCGCTCGAGAGCACATCCCCACACCACTGACAAAGTCCACTTATGAAGTAAATGCCGATAATAAGACCAACTACTGTCTGTCTGTCACCTAAAATGGCAAATAATATTTCATTTCTAAGAATCAGACCCTATAACTACTGATAATCATCATCATGTTTACATCTACATGTTTCTACGAATCGAATCCTGTGAGTGAATGAGCGAGTAAGTGAGAGTGAGTCATGTCCTGCGAACGGAGCGAGCGAGCGAGCTATCGATCGATCGATAGATGGATGCGTCGAGAGCGGATGAGAAATCTGTCAGCATCACCATCAACACCATCCATCATCATATCCCGTCTTCATCTTCTGATCTTCTTCTTCGTCTTCTTCTTCTTCTACTTCTTCTTCTGCATCTTCCTCTCATTCTTCGTGCAACAGAACGAGAAACGAGAGCACTTGCGACTACGGTATCTGATAACCTCAAGTGCATAAGCCGAGGAAGCTCCTGCTGAGCAGGCAGGCGGGCAGTCAGGCAAACAAAAGCGAACTCCTTGTTCTCCCAAACTTCTTCAACATCATCATCTTGATCTTCTTCTTCTCTTCAACAATTGCAGGCAGCAACAGCACCCAAGCCTGGTCCTCCGCATTCCAGTCACCAGTTCCGAAGGTCGAGACTCAGGGTTGCAATGCTGTTCACCTCTCCGACGAGCCACAACGCAGGGTGCACCGTTGAAAGTCCAATCCAACCAACACATCCAAACAAGCAATTGTTCTAGAGTGTTACCCACACGTTCATTCTTCCTAAGAACCCACATCGGTAGCAATCAATCCGAGGACCGACTATTTCTCCATCCGACTAACTATCTATCTATCTATCCTTCCTCCCTTCCTCCCTTCCTCCCTTCCTTCCCTCCTCCAGCTGCTGTTGCTGCCGCCATGTCTTGAAACATAGATCTCATCCGATGCAGGAAAGTCTTCTCTCTTTCGACCCACCCACCGGAGAACCTTTGCCAACAAATCATGGCTCGTTGCAGCCCAACCACCCGTCCATCCATCATCGTCGTCTACTTCAGCTTCTTCTTCTTCTCCTCCTCCTTCTTCGTCGTCGTCTTCTTCTGCTTCTTCTTCTTCTTCGAACGTCGTCGTCTTCAAATTGTGTGGACTATATTTACAAAAAACACAGTATTTACCTCAAGGGTCTGGTCTGGTCTTGTCATGTTTGATCTGGTCTGTACTCGGTGGCTTCATCACCTTCGTGTGCGAATGAGATTGGCACGCCGGCACCATTCGATTGTGCTCAGAACCAATTGTGTAAACTCGACAGTCCCTTTCTTCACCGTCTTCTTCATCCTGGCCTAGTCTGCTGATCTAATCTGATCCAATCCGACTGACAGAGGGAACTTCGACTATCATCAATCATATAAAATCATCATCATCATCCTCATCCTCATCCTCATCGTGCTGCTGCTGCTGCTGCATAAGCTACTACAGCAATTACTAGAGGTTGGTGGTGTGGTGTTGTAGCGTCGTAGGGCGATGACAGAACAGCAGCAGCAGCAGCAACAACAGCAAAGTATTAACAAGGGGCAACACCATTCGGACGACGACATCATCATCCTCATCATCATGCCTCACAGTGTGGTCGTTGTCGAGATATGGACTGCGACAGCGGCGAGGGTCAGTAAGACCACAATCCCTCGACGATATCCGGGCACGAGTTGGAGGGGTCCGGGAACATGCCCCGATTGAAGGTTCGGAACAAGGAGGCCTGCTCCAATTCCGCCACGCCCGATTCGGAGCCGAGCGATTGCAAGCCTCCTGCTGCGCCGGGGCCTGCCTCGCCGGTGCTGAACCCGTTGGACTCGCCGACCCAGGATTCCATCATGCTCGACCTCTGGCTGCTCTGCGCGTCGTCTTCCTCGCCCGCATAGGGCTCGGCCTTGCAGGCGCGCATGGACGAATTCATGCCCACGCGCTGGTTGTGGTGGTGGTGCTGCTGCTGGTGCTGCTGCTGTTGCTGGTGCTCCAGATACTTGAGCGTCATGCTCAAATTCTGCGCCTGCAGCTGCGTCAAGGTGTCCTGGCGGGCGAGCTTGGGGCCAAAGGTGCCAGCGCCGGCAGCGCCTCCGCCGAGCTTCAGAGCCGAAGCGCCCCCGGCTCCCATCTCGGTGAAGATGCTGTCCATGATGTACGAGGGGCATCTGAGCAGCGCGCTGGCGTTCTTGCCTTGCAGGCTCTCCAAAGTGTCTTCGAGCTCGACCTTGAGCTGCCACGGGTTGGGATTGTTGGCGTTGGTGGCCGCGTTGTTGTTGTTGCTGCTGTTGTTGCTCTTGTTGCCGCCTCCGCCGGCCCCCGCTGCCGCGCCCATGTTGTCGAGCGCGTGGTAATTGCCATCGATCAGGCATGTGTCACTCTCTTCTCCCACCGAATTCGGATTCGGGCTCTCGAGCAGCGCCGGCAGCGACGAGCGCCCCTGCGCGTCCGTGTTGTAGCTCGAGCTGCGGTTGCACTCCATCGGATTCTTCTTGCCGCCCGCGCTCTTCTGGAAGATTCGGCACACCACCCACTCGTCCTGCAAAATGTGCACAGCCCCATCGCCGTCCGGTTAGCCCCCGCGTAACCCCCCGCCACCCAAATTCATTCTTTATTCGATTTACCGTCGCCCGCAGCGAGAGCGGCAGAGAACCACCGAATGGCAGCCCCCCAGTGGGAAAGGCGCTCAGGTGCCTCTCCCTCGCTGTGCCTACGAGCCGACCACCGCCGTAGCCATGCCAGCTCTAAGCCCCAAGCCCCGAGCCCAAAGTTCAAGCAGGAGCAGAAGCTGGAGCCCATGGGCGAAAATCCAAATCCCAGGAGGGAAGGCAGACGGTCCAGACGGTCTGTCAAGCGTTCCACTTTGGTGAATGGCACGCAAATCAAGGAAGACGAAATCGAGGAAGAAGCGACTGACACACGATCCTCACTCATCATTGCCTTGCCGCTCGCACAAAAGGCAAAGCTTGGCCATCGGCTCTACAGTGGACGAGAGCGAGGCATTTTTCGCTCCGTGCCCGAAGAGCAGCGTGAGCGTGAGCATCGACCGACGACGGCCCCATGTTGCGATCTGATCGTCGCTCGGGCCCGGCGGGGCCGTCGGCGATACAGCAACAGCAGCAGCAGCAGCAGCAGATACGCTGCGGGTAGCAGGTCAACGGTTCGTCCGCGCGGCCAGTGAGGGCGAGCGAGCGAGTTAGTGGGTAGTTGGCACTACTCGAGCTGGGGTTCGATGATGGCCGCGTGAAATAAACATAGAACGAATCGCATGCAGGAGCCCCAAGCCCAAGCCCAAGCCCAAGCGCGCATGAGCGTGGCTGGGGGGCTGGGCCTGGGCTTGGGGCTGGGGCTGGCTGCCTCGGACCCCCCGGGGCTTGCCTCCCCCTCCCCCTCCTCCCTCCCTCCCCCTCTTCCTTCCAACCCCCTCCCTCTTCTGACAGCAACGTAGTCACTGCTCGAACGTTACGGCGCACCCCACGAACTCATCATAATACCCCTCTCTCTCTCTCTCTCTCTCTCTCAGTCTCTCTCTCTCTCCTTCAATCACTCTGAGAGAGTGTCTCAGCTCGGAGGTCTTGATTGGGAAGAACCCCACTCACCATTCTCTCTGGGAAGTGCTTTTCCCGAGGAAGGGCGGGCAGGACTGGCATGGCAAGGACATCTAGAACAGACAGACAGACATGGAATAGACCATTCTTCCGTGAGTCAATCAGACAGACCAAATTCTCTCGTGCTTATCAATCACTGATTCGCTTTCTCTCTCTCTCTCTCTCTCTTTTCTCTCTCTGAGGCTGTGTGGCTGAGGGAGTGTGCGGTGCATGGGGGAGTAATGTTTACCTTGGACAACTTGGGGGAGTGAATTTGATTGGGCTGCTCGCCCTCAATTCGGTACTCGTGCATGATCCAGTTGGTCTTCTCGCCTTTAGGAGCACGACCGCGGTAGAAGACCAGAGTTTTCTTCATGCCCACGAGCCTGCCGTTGCGGCTGCTCATGACCTCGCGGTCTTTGCCCGTGGCTTTCCAGTATCCGGCCTCGGTGGCGCGATTCGTACGCATTCCCGTCGGGTACTTTCGGTCGCGTAGGCTGAAGAAGTACCACTCTTTCTCGCCCATCTTCGCCTTGGCTGTTCACAAGCACCACCACGCCCCCACAAGTTTAATAAACCGAAATCAATGCCCGGCGCTCGCTCGCTCGCTCGCTCAATCATCTCATTTTCATTCATTCATTCATTCATCGACCCACCCACCAATCACCCCACGCTCTCCGTCTCTCGTAGATCTACACGGCACTCCCACCGCAGCGGCGTGCGATGACAGTCATGCCCCGCATCTGTGAATCGGCAGCGAGGTCTGGGCTGGACAAGAAGAAGAAGAAGAAGAAGAAGGTGACAGTGCTGCTGCTGCATGGCTGCGGCAGGCTGCCGACATTACTGGGCGCCAGACTGGCTGGCTGGCTGGCTGACGGACTGCAATGTCTACGACGCGCTACTGCAGCTCGCTGGAAGCGTGCATGATTCTATCGTCCAATTTTCTACGAGAGATTGACTCGACCGCCTCGTACCTCACAAATCAGCCTCACACACACCGTCCTCTCACGTGGAACACAATCTCTAGCATGGGCGGGCCATTGTCTAGCCCTTTAATGCAGAATCTGAATCTGCCAGCTGCGTCCATGCCACTGGCTGTGCAGAACCGCGATGGTGGAAAAATATATGGAAGCACATGTCCCGCCCCCCTCTAGACACCTACGCTCGCTCTCGCTCTCTCTCTCAGAGTCTCGGACTCGCCCGGCAGATGAGCCCGCGAGTCGATGCTGCGTGCTCACGGACGGTGCCGAACGAAGCACTGAGCAGAAAATCTCATAACCGACCCAACGAAGAAACACCGAAGAAAAGCATTCGACCATCCATTCATCTCGACGCGGTGCGAGAGGATGGCGCACTCTGAAGAGTGGTGCGGGAGTTCAGATCACGGCCAGATATGGCACCCGGACGTGGGATGGAGAGGGGATGCAGTCGCTGTGAATGATATGAAAAAATAAGTCCAAGAAGAATGATCGAGAGATTTGGGTGGCGGAGATCCGGGTCGTACCAGGCAAGTCCCACGGTTCGCATTTGTTGAGATCTACTTCCGTAATGGCCTGGCAGTGGACGTTCTGGTTGCCGGCCCTGACCTTGCCATCAAGGTAGTAAGTGACGAGCTCCTCGTCTGTGGGATGGAAGCGGAAGCCCGGAGGAAGCCAAGGGCTTTGAGACTCCTCCACCTTTCCTTGTATGCGGGACATCTTATCGGGTATGTGACAGACAGTCATGCGGTGCCGCTTTCTTCTTCTCAACGAGGATGATGGTATTCAAGCTGCAAATACAGCACCACGTCGTCTTTCAGAGCCTTGTATCTTGCTCGACGCAAATGGACCTTCTTCTTCTTCTTCTTCACCTCGAACGAGCTGCTGCTGCAGTGTCGTCGTGCTACTGCGAGTCGTGGTCGTGGTAGTGGAGTAAGGACTGTCAACAGCCAAATCTGGGAGGCATACGTCAAATAGTAGAGTACAGTCGAGGTCAATTCAACCGTGCACTCCACTTTGGTCAATCAATCAATCAATCAATCTGTCAAGCCAGCCCTGGGAAGCCACACCTCCAGTTTCTCCACAGAACCAACCGACCACCGAGTCGTTCGGTCCTTAAATCCTCAGATTCAGACCGGACCTGGTAATTCTCGTGCAGCTGCTTCTTTCGCTTGCCAGCTGCTGGCTTCCTGACGGGCTACAGATGATCTCGCACCCGCGGTTGCCAATTGTTGTGATACGGGCCTTTGCTGGACCCAAATTCGTGTCTGCTACGCACCTCAAAAGTCCACACCGCCTATAGTAGTACGTAATACCACACCGCCAAAACTGTAAAATCTCCCTAGCACCCTTAAAATCCGTATCTACACGACCCAGGGGACCAGAGTTCAGACGGACGGGCGTTCGTTCCGATGCGACGAGCCGAGGGACGAAGCGAGGCGAGAGGAGGGCACTCGGGCCAGAAACAGAATGAGCAGACGCAGCAGGAGCCCCGAAACAAGTCAAAGCTCGCTTCGATCGAATTTGTACAAGTCCGAGGACTGATGCCTCTAGCTCCCTAGTGGTCAGGATGATGGGACGGGGTACTTACAAGAAGAGGGAGGAGAGGATGGAGAGAGAGTCGTTTAAAGGATGGATGGGGAGAGAGGAGAGATGAGAGGAGAGGAGAGGAGGAGAGAGAGAGAGCGGGAGAGGGGGAGGGGGGAATGGAGACGAGCAGAGGAGAGAGACTTATGAAGCTGGAGCTGTGGAACTCAGTGTACATGTATATGACAAGAATGGGGGCGGGTCGGGCGAGCGAGCAGGCACGCAGGCGCAGGTCAGGCCAGGACAGGCAAGGCAAGGCAAGGCAAAGCAAAGCTGGGCTGGGCTGGGCTGGGGGGCTGGGGCTGGGATGGGGATGGAGAAGGAGATGGGGCCCGGTGGGTCGAGAGAGCGAGAGGCGAGCTAGTGTGAAGAGTAAGAAAGCAGAAGCTAGGACTCAATCTCTCCCCCTCCCGCTCGCTCGCTCACTTCTCAAGCTCCCCGTCTCGTGGCTTCTCTTCTCTTCTCTTCTCTCCACTTTCCTTCCCTTCTCTAATTGTGATGTGCTGTGGTGCTCCGCCGCTGCAGTGGAAAGAATTCCGAGTAACTTACAATGTAATTCACAGGAGCTTACGCTGAGGGAAGTGACATTTACAGAACCAAAGCGCAGCTGTAGAGGCTATAGCACAACCGACCGACCGACCGACCGAAGCAAGCAAGCAAGCGGGCGAGCGAGCGAGCGAGTGATGTGGAGCAGAAAGAAGAAGAAAAGACACTGAGACGACTGTGAGCGAGAGAGAGAGGTCGCCGCAGCAGTCCCACCAGCAGCAGCAGAAGGAGAAGCAGCAGCAGCAGCAGTGGAGGAGTGGAGTGGAGTGGAGGGGAGGGGCTTCGTCTTCGTGAGGGGAGTGAATGAGTTCCCGCAAACAACAAAGCAGCGAGCGAACAAACAAGCAGCGCTCAGCTTCGGCCTCTTTCCAGCTTTTGTATGTGCGAATAGCTTGGACTTGATGATGATGGTGATGTGCGCACTGTCCCGGGGCTTGATGGCGCGGATGTATGCGCTCACGAGACATGCATGGAGCCCCCATGCGCATGCGCATGTGCATGCCGAGAGAGGGCTTGCGAAGGGGGCTGGCGAGGGCTTGCGAGTCTAAATCGATCCATCCGTCCGGGGGGTGGGGGAGGAGGAGGAGGAGGAGGTAGTCGTCGTCGGCCTCGTCGTCGCCGTCGAGGTTCCGGGAGCGGGTTGATAAAAAGCGGGCGGTGATCGGCGCAGCGCGGGTCGGGCGACAGGAAGTGGCAAGATGAAGGGCAGGAGCGGCGGCGCGGCCTAATGACAACTCTCGGCCGAGCCGCGAAAAGGCGTCGCGGTGGAGCCTCGGACGAGGCCCTGGCCGGTCGCCCGCTTTGTTTGTTTCTTGGCTCGCTCGGTTGGGGGCCTCGCGGGGCTTGGGCTTGGGGGAGGGGGGCTGACCGGGAGTGCCCCATCGACCGACAGAATGGAGCGATCGAACGGAAGGCGAGTCCCCACGAGTGGCGGAGGAGGGGGAGAGAATGGCGAAGGATAATCAAGTCAACGCACGGGCACCGTATGGCGATCCGACATCTGCCCCCGGCGAGCCCAATCATGCAGCCCAGAATCCAGATGCGGCGGGAGCTGCTCGCGCGCGGGACTTTGGACCGTGTCAGCGCACGGAGGCCGTGCGATGCCATCGCACGGTCTCCAACCGCGTGCGAAACCCCGCGGGCTTTCGTGGGCGTCCCACTACTTTCGACCCCGTGCCCGCCCGCCAAGTGTCCCGCTCCATTCCCGCACCCGGCCTCGCTTTTGTCCCTCCCGCGCGCTGTAACTCCTGTGCCGGACGCGACCGCCTCTCGAATTATCTGCAGGTGAAAGGTAACTTGTGTGTCCGTCACGTACTCTCTCAGACCCTCGGTCCGTCTCATCATTGATCCGTAGAGTGCGGCCAATGCCCGAACGTCCACGTCATTGTGCGCGGTACCCCTTCTCGAACTTCCTCGTCAGCAGCCCACCCCCCGCCCGTCCGCCCGCCCGTTTGCGCCCCTCTTACCCCACCCCGCCTGCGGTCCCCTCACCCATGGTTAACTTCCTCGCGTCCGCCCGGCATGCCGGCCACCGGCAAAGTTTCTCGACAAGCTTTTCCTGGCCGCGGGACACATGTCCTAAGCTCCTCTCGTGCCTTGGCCCTGGAACAAAGGCTTTTCTTCCCGGCATTCGACTATCTCTCACGCCAAACCAAAGTTAACCCGCGGGCCGCTAACCCGCCAACCGCCGTGTAACCACGTCCCGGTCCTGCCATATTCCGGTTAAGTTAATGGGCCGCGGAATATATAAGCGCGCTGGTCCTTATCCGAACGAACGAACGAAAGTACCATGCGGAACAAAGAGTCGCGCGCTCGCGCTGTCTCCCGTGAGATTACGGATTGTCTCCGCATAAGTACAAGGAAAAGTCTTCATGTCTTCATGGGAGGGAATCTTCAGGTACCACTAAATTTAACGGGAGGGGGAGATATTTGGGGCTGCAATCGTACGAAGGGGTAAATTTGGCAAAAACGGGAGGGGCAGGAATTACGAGAGTCTCTCGGAGTGTCGCTTTGTTGCCACGCAAACGAACCCAGCGAGAATATCGTGCCCTAAGCCCGGCCCACGTGGCAAAATGTCAACTTCCGGCGACGCCTCGCCCGTCACCGGCCTACCAACCGTTGAACGCCAGAAACCTCGCCCGACCGCCGACGACGTCGTCGACGGCCGGTGGGACCTTTCAGGCCTCCTCTTCGCCGTTCCCCCGTCTCGTCTCAGCCCCTCCCGCCCGCCCACGCCAATTTAGCGGCGATGCACTGCCCCCTTCCCCCACCCCCAACCCCCAACCTCGGGCCTTCAGACCCTATCTATTCGCTAGTCTGGTCTAGCAAAATTGGCGGCGGATGTGCGCACGGGTGCCTGGCGGGGTTTCATAAATGACGTGGTCAGTCGTCTGACGTACCGGGAATTTTGTATACGTTAGATCCGGAAAGGAGGACCGAGCGACGACCGAAGGAGCCACAGCCCCCGAAGGGGGTCTGAACTCTGGAACTCTGGGACGGGGGCTAGTGGCCCTTTGCGGGTCTCGCCCACCCCCAACCCCAGCCCCACCCCCAACCCCCAGCCCCCAGCCCCCAGCCCCGAACCCCAGTCCACATCATGCCGAGCCTAGCGTAGCCTCCGGAGTCAGTTGCCCGAAAGCGGCGGCGGTGGTGGAGTAATTATTGAGGGCCTCTTCTGCCTGTGGCCTGTATGACATCGCCTGCCCGCTACCCCCGTCGCCCCCCAATATCTACTCTCTCGTACATGGGCGCATGTATGTCATCCGCTCTGTTTCTATCCCCCTGTCTATCCATCTATCTATCTGTAAAGGCGCCTGCAGAGAGGAGTCCCCGCAGCGCGAAGAGAAGAGAAGACCACTGTAGTCAAAGGTCGGCTAAGCGCTTGCTTAATTAGCACTAACATGCTAATCAGAGCAGGCGGCCTCTGTCTCGTTTGCAGTTTGGAGGATCCGATTCCCCCCCCGCACAAGAACATGGGCGAGTGCTCAGACTTAGACCTCTATTCCGGGCTAAACAAATTTAGTGTGTCCAGAGGCTTCAATTAGAGCAGGACTTAATGTGAGGTGTGTCTTCAAACATGGGGGCTCATTATATTTGGCTGCTCCGAGGGCTTGCCAATTTAGCAACCTGTTTCGCTTCGTGTGCCTGGTCTCGATCCAACGAGGGCTGTCTGGGTTAGAATAGATCGCATTAGTCAAATGGACAAGACAAGAGTAGACTTCTACGCTTCTCGGATTACAGCAGATCAGAACGTAACCAATCGCTTAGGTGCTCGAAGTAGTAAGCATGGTATGGTATGGTGCGAGGAGTACCGGCCAGCAGCAGCAGCAGCAGTAAGAGTGAATACGACTCTTCCTCGCTCGAGAATTTGTGCAACTTCATTGACTTACGACGAGGAGGACCAGGAGGGCCAGTGGCAGGCAGCCGGAGAAGTAATGTAGTCGTATGGGTGGTAAGTATTTTTTAGCTTGCGGCTCGTCGCGATGTAGTAAGAAGAGAGAGAGAGGGAGAGAGAGAGCGGTCGGTCTAATTGCACATGTTGGCTCTTACAAAAACAGATATTGTCCCCCGAGCATTCGACATTCATTTGCTATGCCCGTGACTGATTAATTAGAATCTACAGCAACTTGGACTCTGGACTCTCACAGCTAAACACTTTGAGGTTTGCGCTTGCCTACCGACAATGACAAGTCCGAGCGAGAGCAAGTCTTGTAACTCTTCCCCATTCGAGCTGAACCCCACTCCGCTTCCCGCTCCCCTGGGGAAGGGTGAAAACAGACCACTTCTGTGTTGTCTCGTAGATTGAGCACGCAGCACTTACTTGCTCGCTTGGAGGAAGAAGCAAGGAAGACTCGAATCGAGTCTCTCTCTCTTATCTTCAGACAGGAAGAGAGAGAGAGAGAGAGAGAGAGAAATGGGGAAGAGAGAGACCCACATGCTTGCCAAATTTTACCCAACCATGTCTGACACAAACGCAACACTTCACTCATTCATGCAATGAATGCTAGTGATCCAATCCCCCATTCCCACAACGAACAATTCCAGTCAAAGGGGTTTTGCAACTTGCAAACGACGGAGTCTAACTTTTCATGGGGCCTGGAATTTCAACTCTCGGTTGTGGAGGTTGGATCCGGGCACGACTACCCAGTGAACGAGTTATTGGATCCTTGGTTCATCCTCATCAAACATTAAATCACATTACCACCGGAAACGGGTGGCTCCATCCATCTATGTCAACAGATGCTCATGAAGAACAACTCGCACAAGAAGAAGACGAAGCAGGGCAGAAACTCATTGTGGGGGCGAGGTAAAACAAAATCCAGCCATTAAGAAATCCACATGGAAATATCTAATAGAACTCCCGCTTTGAATGAGTCATGCTGGTCTCTCCTCTCCTTCTTTTTCCGGAAAACAGGTCTATGGGCTGAGGTGGGCTGGGCTGGGCTCGATGCTATGAACCACCTCCCCCCCCCCCCCCCTCCTCTTCATTCTTGTAGGTATGATCTACAAGATCTGTTTGAACAGTGCAGAAATGCACTGCCTCGTTGTAACTTTTGGAAGGGAGATGTATTGAGCTGTTGGAACAGTTCAATTCAATGAGTCGTTGTAGAGCCCGGAAAGCCTCAAAAAGTGACACAGTCACGGACCTAGATAAAAGGTTCTGGAGGGGAGGGATGGCCGGACGGAGCGCCTCAACTATTGCACTGCTAGACCTTTAGACTTGACAACTCACTCGAAGTGCTAGAACCTCGAAGCTCAAGGGTAGTGTAGTGTAGTGTAGTGTAGTGTAATGTGAGGTGAGATGTAGACTGCGAATGTGAGCGATGGCATGGTTGGAGTTTGAACATTATAAGGCCAGAAAGGTTTCCCCTTTTGTCGTGCTATGTATGCATGACTCTCTAACAGTCGTAGCTACCAAAAGGGAGGGAAGGAAGGGATGAAGGACGGTTCACAGCAGAGGTTGATAACTCTATCATTGTGTCTGCGCTGCAGGGAAAGTTGACATAAAGTTGACACTTTGACAAGGGATTAAATGGTATAAGAACTCTCGTCGTCCTCCTCCTCGTCCTGGAGATGCTGCAGTGGCTGCAATCTCCTTCTCGTTGTTGTTGGACGAAAACTGCAAAAGAGAAAAAAAGTTCAGAGCCCATCGTCGCTGTGCAGAGCGAGTCAGAACATGTTTATGGGTCGAAGAGTGGAGAATATTGAAAAGGGAGTGCGTTGAACTGCACTGCCATCACTTCTCAAACGAAATCTCGTACGATGTCACGAGTAACATCATTATGAAGAACATGCAGAAGAGAACGGAATTTGAGCCCCCCTTTTTTAGTTTATCTGATGAGGAACTG